TGTCTCTCTCTCTCTGTGTCTCTCTCTCTCTCTCTCTCTCTCTCTTCTGCTTCAGCTTCTGTTAGGAAATGGTGAAAAAACAAGGATAGGAACCATTATATTTAAGTGCTGCAAGTTTTGTCACAGACAAGGTGAATGCTGCAAAATACAATGAATTACAGACAATCCAGCAGTATAAACCCACATGCTTAGCATTTATGTTAGCAAAGAAAGTTCATCTTCAGCACTGGGTAAAAGAAAAAAAAAAAAGCAAGGAATCCTGAAATTACACACATTTCCCCATGGGAAAATTTTGTAGACAAATGGTCACCAAAAATACAATTTCACCTACAAAATCTAAGTCAAAGGAAACAAATATTTTTGGTGACTGTTGGGAAGTATCTTCCAGTCATATGTAAAGACCACCTTAACTTCTTCCCCACCATAACTGATAGAAGTTCTCTCAAGTCTCATGTTAGCCAAAATGAAAATAGCGTTTGCACTTGGAGCAGGCCATTTCCACAGTGGACGGCTTTGGCTCATGCTGTGCTCTCTGCATCAGGTTTTCACGGCACAGGGAGGAGAGCAGGCGTGAGTGGCACCAGTAGCACCGCAGCTGCTCAGACTGCAGGGGCTCGTGATGTGCTGTGGGACCCCCACAATTCAAAATATCCTTGGGGCTTTGGAAACAAGTTGACCAGCAATAACTAAGAAACAACCCCTGCAAACCAAGCTACAGGAGGCAGATCCCTGTTTACCTCACATCCACATGGCAAATACATAGAGTGCAAACAGAGCATTAATATCTGGAGCTGCAGGAACCCTGGGCTACCCATCTAGGCTAGCAGAGGTTAATGCTGTCTTGCCACCAACCCTAGAACACCCCTGCCCAGTTTCCAAATACTGAATGCAGAATTTGCCAGCAGCAAAGTAGTCAAACTTTCTGCCTCCTCCATCAAAGCGAGGCAGAAAAGGGTAAAACAGTGTAAGAAATGCCCAACAATGGATCTTCATGTTATGTGGATTTCCATTGCTGTTGACTTGTTACAAGTAAGCCACAAGGCAGGCAGGCAGGATACACTGTGGTTCCACAACAAAACATCTTCCTGAGTCAAGCTGGAGACCTTCTAGCTGCTTGTGCATCCTGAGGACACTTCTGGACCCTTTACGTGAACATTCAGTTGCTGCAGCCCTCCCTGGATTTTCCACTCGCATGCATTCTTCCACTCGCTCCTTGTCAGGCTGCAAGGCTTTCACCACGTGCAAATCCCAAACGCAGCAGTTCAAGATTTTTTTTTTAAATAAAATTCTAGTCTGTTTTTATTCATGACGTCTTTTTGTTTTCTTAAGGTGTGGGGTTTAAGGAACTGAATCAAATGAATGTAACAAAACGAAAACAAACATAAAAAAAAGCCTATTCTCAGGGCCAGTGAGTTGCAAATAATTTTTAAAAAATGCCTGTAATTACATCATCTCAATAAATTTAATATAAAAATGGGAATACCAAATTTTGTTGGTGCAATCATTGCTAAAAACTCCTTTTTTTTTTTTTTTTTTTTGAGGATGATGATGGTGCCCAAGTGTATATAGTACATAGCAGCATGTTTTCAGTTGTGAAAAGAAACCAACAGGCTTCACACACCCAAACCTATGTGACCAGAGCTTGGATCCTCTCAGGGAAGCTTTGTGTGGAAAAGCTAATCCAATCCCTTGGAGTAATTACTTTGTTGCCTGCTATTAGACATCCATAGAGCCCTCGACTAGTGTCTAGATGAGTGTACCTAGTCATCTTCCCTGGTCTAGGAATGGGCATAGAAGTAAAACTCAAAAATGAAGCAGCATGATGACTCTTGTGGCTTTTCCTTATATACCTAAATATGCCAGTTCAAGTAGTCTGAGAGCAAGATTTTGTTTTCTGTGACATCCATCTGTGCCAGCGGCAGTAGAAACACGACCCGTGCGCTGCATTTGCAGCGTGTGTTACCCCACTCTGCTCCCCAAGCCCACCAAGACCCAGGGACCTCTGCAAATAGGCTTGGTGCCAGCAGCCTGCTCTGAAGAAGACAGCAAGACGTAGCACAAACTGCTCGCTACTGCAAAACACTCCCTGCTGCAGCCTTTTTCCCATTAAGTGGTGCTTTTAGCACTTAGGGCAATGCCAGGCCTGTGGAGTGCTCCTCATGATAACTGCTACAGAGTGTTTTATACCACAAGGCAAAGGAGTAAGCACTAAACAAACCCCTCTCTCAACCCAGACAACACACCAAGAGGAAACTCACCGAGTATTTTGCTCCATAATTCTTTCCCTTTGGGCCATTTCCCTTCATTTTAGAAGAGAAAAAAAAATGTATTCTGCACACCACTGCAGCTTTCTGCAGTAAAGCTGCAGTTTGAAGGCAGAGAAAAGAGGAAGTTTTCAGTGGTTTCAACTCCATTCTCTCCATTGAGAACTAGTCTTGGTGCTGCCTGTTAAATCCAGAATGAGGTTAGAGAACAAACTTCAGCCATCCCAGCACAGAAGAGACCCCAAAAGCACCTGCAAAGTTATCTCTTTGCTTTCTATTTTCAAACTCAGATCAGCACTAAAAAGAAAGATGCTGGCCCGAGACAAGCAAGGCAATCATGGATGATGCACATGTTTGTAGACTACAGCCCTAGGCAGTCACATTGCAAACCTTTCCCATCATATTTCCTAGCTTTGTCTGGGAGACAATTTGCAAGAGTGTCAGTGAGGAGCTCAGTTACTCTCCATACACTCAGTGACTTGCAGAGGCTGCCAGCAAGCCAAATGGCAGAGGCATTTTTTAGAGAAAACTATTTTGGAGTAACTTTTAGCAGGAATTTTTTTACTTCTCCAAGACAGGTCTCCAGCTGTAAGGTATCAGCAAACAAACACATCCATTTTT